GTTGCTGTAACAAACGCAATAAACAAAAGCAATGAATAATGGTTCATGTTTCAGTTTTAATCAACAATAATACTCGATAATACATACGGATAGTTAACCTCAATTGTATTGAAGCACTCAGGAAGTTTGGCACAGTTTTTTCACAAATATTTTATCATATTAATTAGTATTGATTTAGATATTCAATTTAAATCACTTCTGATTATAATTCAGACGCACATATAAAATTCGCACTTGTATAATGAACATTGAAAACAACTAGGTACTTATATAATCTTTTATTTTAAACAATAATTCAAACTCCTATATTTGTTTAAAAGGTTAATGTCATTGTCAGATGTCAATTGTCATGGTCATTCAAAATTCTTGTTAAGCAGTGCTAAGCTAAGAAATAGAATATGCGTGAAGTTAGCTTCACGCATATTCTATTTCTTTTACTTGTAGATTGCGCACGCTATAATCACACTCCCAATTTTGTGTCATAGGTGCGCGCGCATCGTAAAATTTCACTCTCATCAATTTTTCATAACGCGCCTAAAGAAGTATAACTTCAATAAATGAATCTATCGTGTTGTTCAATTTACTGAATTTTATATACACATGTATTACTTGAAAATAATAAAATCTGAATTTTACCATCTGTAATTTCAATTTACAAAATACTTTTTCATAGCACTCCGAACTTTTTTCAGAGACGGTAGTCTATAGCTTGCAACTACCCTGCAAAAGGTTAAATTCTCTGGTAGTCTTTACTATTAAGCCATAGTTCACTACAATGATTTTGATGGGTTGATTTTATACGTTTCATCAACGGACGTCGTGGCAGAATACGAAATTCCACCCGTATCACCTCGACGTCCTCCGTTCCACAACTGAGAGTATTTACGGCACTTTACGGCAGCGCACCACCACTATATGGAACCAGTTGCTCACTTAAGTATTTCTGAACCAAATCGACTTAAGGTCCTTCAAGGAAAGAGCATACAATTCTTAATTCTTAACTTAACACCAGATGAGCCCCCTGTTCTATATAAAAAATAAATAAATAACGGTGAAGAGAAACGAAACCAAGCCAACAATGGATTGTAATAAAATAAATAAAAACTAAAATAAATTGCTTCAAAACACATACTTCATGAAATATAATTTACTGCATTGAATATAAAGTCATCCTGCCAATTAGGTGCCGACCATAACAATTAATCAAGCGTTTTTTCATGTTTGACACGACAAGAACCTTCAAGGATTTTCATTAATAGGTACTTTGACTATAAATTGTTTCATGCAAATTTTGTTGTAAACGTTTTATTTGCTTGAACCGCTTGAACGCGGAAATGGAGAAATTTCGTCAATTTAATTTAAATTATTGCGATTTAAATACAATGCTGGGAAATCTGGATTTTCTTTTAAGAATCTCTAATGTTAAAATTAATAAGAACAACGATCAACGTGAGTTATTTAAAGTAATTATAGCTCAAAAAAGACGAATATGTAAATGTGCGTAACTTCACATCAATAATAATAATAAAAAAAAATTGGACAAAATTAATAAATAATATTTTAATTATTTAACAATTTTAACGCTATAGAAAAAATAAACTTAATTTATATAATAAAATAATATGATAAACATTAAATTATACGTTAAATTCATAAGTCATTAAAAACACTAGTGTTGTTACTTGTTACAACCTCAGGTCAGTGCCTCAGTTCTCTGTACCTGTTCCGGGATCATATATTTTTCTTAATCGGGTGATCTGCCTGATACACGTCTTCGATTGTTATGTCGAAGGCGTGCCGTTATCCTTCACCCTACGAGCGCCTGTTAAACGCGCACATAGAAATAAAGATCCAGTCACACCAAACAAACGGTGTAAAGGAACAATTTCACCAGTGTGCTGAACTGTGCATCACAGTGTTGCACAGCGTACGGCACAAATGTTTGCTTTGGTCGACTCACTCAAGTGAACAATCACAATTGTGCGCGAATATTTCAGCAAAGTTCGCGCACATGGCTCAAGTAGTGGATTCGTATCGACGCGCACATTAGTTGTTCGCGAACTCATTCTTGCTTACACTACCAAAGCGAACACATTTAATTGTGCGCGCACTATACCAAGTAATTTTTTGAATGATCAAGAATATATTACAAACCACAACGTTTTCCTGCCCGTCCATATTAGCAACTGTCGGCAGAAACTTCTCAGTGAACAAGTGAGCGCGCACAAAAGTTACATACAGCATTGCCGGTGGAGACACAAGCCTAACGCGCTACGTTCTGCTATTGTTTTGTACAAAATGTTTATAAGCAAATGTGCCGCACGCTATTTTGGTGGAATCGTACCTTCAGGGTTGAAAGGCGCACGTGTCTATCATTAACTGATCGTTATTTTACAGCTATACACAAAATATTTATAATTATATGGTTCCTGGGCATTATTTGCTACTACTACGCGTATGCCGTCTCATTGGTTTGGTTTGTCGCGGTCAAGTATCCGGTAACAGGAGATTTTAACACCCCATGCATATTGTTCTCAATATTAGCGTGCAGCCATCTCTCATTCGTCAACATGTTTTATATCATGATTTATAAGTAAGTTATATATTTTGTTTTCAGTATCTAATAAAGAGAGTTCGATTAGACAGTCCCGGAATTTAATATAATTTATTTTTTTCCCTTAACACTGTTTAGCACTTGCTACATGCACACTAATTCACTAATAAGAATGGTTTTGACATGTCTTAATGAGTGTTAACTTATTGTAACCTACTCTAAGTGTATTTTAATGCGAATTTTGGGAAACAAGAGAGAGTCAAAAGCGTTACGTATGTCCAAAAAGATTTCCCAAACGGGAATCAAAGTCATCGTCTCGAATAAGAGTAAATTTCCTTATTAAAACTATATTAAACGTAGGGAAAAACTTCAAAACCTCATTCAAAGATGTCTAGACTTCAACAATATAGTAAAGCCCGGTACAATGTTTTCGAAAAATCTTCACAATCAGCTAAGGTACATAAAGAAACGTGCATCAATCGTTTGGGTCGCTATGTTCATGAACGCAGTATTTTACGCGCTAGTCCCATTTGCCATACCGGGGCGACATCTACCAGAGGACAAACAAGTAATATATGGTGAGTAGTATATATTAATAATAATAATTAGAATTGAATTAAGATACAACTGGATGCACTCTGCAACAGCTATGTCGAGATTCGGAATAGAGACAAAAGTCTACAGTAATGCGAGCAGCTGTGTCTAGACGAAGCAACGATGTAAACCAGAAACCTGCCACGAACACTCTGAAAAGAGTGCATTTGTGTGTGCTTTTGATAACGAGCGAACTGTGGAATCGACTACCGGTGGGTCTTCCTTTGGAGACCTCCAATTGTTTAAAAAAGAGTATGTGTGAGCATGAGCTCTTTCACAGTCCGGCAACGTACCCACTAAAATGTGTGTGCATGGGCTGCGATGATTACCCTTTTTGTGCGTAGGCACGTTTCACTCCCTAGGCTATAAAAAAATTATATATTTGAGTGATCACTACTCTTTACGAATTCAGGTCTCACGTATGCCTTAACCATTCGTCTTTTAAATATTTTATACGGTTTTAGGTCTGGATCCAATCTTCGAATCGCCAAATTACGAAATTGCATTCGTCATACTGAGCTTTGGCATTTATATCTGTGGACTTTTCTTTGCAAATGTCACAGCCCTCACATTGGTGATACTTGGCTACGTTGAGGCTCAATTGTTAGCTCTCACTACAGAGCTACAAAACTTGTGGGAACACGCCGAAATCTTTTACGAAACACACGCTTTGACCAACCAAGACTACAGCACAAAGAATAAAATTAAGAACATTTTTATCAACGAATGCTTGAAGGAAATCGCGCTTTTTCATATACTAAACATAAACATTATTAGAAAATTTGAAGATATATTTCGGGGCACAAAGGCTGTTGCACTTATATCTACAATATTAGCAATTATAAGTGAACTATTGGGAGGAATCGAAACCACATATCTACAAATCACATATACGCTTGTAGTGGTATTTACAGAAACATACGCGGGCCAAAAACTTATTGATGCTTCGATTAAATTCGAAAAAGGCGTTTATAGTTGCAATTGGGAAAATTTCGATTCAAACAATATGAAAATTATTGCGACAATTCTGCCGAGCGCTCAGAAGACGATGAATATAACTGCTGGCGGAGTGACGGTGCTAGATTATTGTTGTTTTTTTGCTGTTATAAAATTTAGTTATTCCGTGTATAATACACTACGATTGCAGGTTTGAAATATCTATTCATTAACTAGAACTGGCGCTTATTAATAAACACGTGTTGTACGAGCCAAGGCTGTACATTTTTTTTAAGCTTCGCGATTACCTAAATCTTCGGATATACGCCCCGAGAGTATAGCCAGACGCAGGCACTCTTTTCAACATTTACATTAAATTTAGCATTCATAGAAATAAGCATAATTATTTCGCATATATTCTATTGTTTTACGCGAGTTGTAAATATAGAGTAAACATAAAAACCTCTACTATTTAAAGCACCCTGATGACCCAGGAACCGCACACATTGTTAAAATAATTGCATCCAAAACTGTTTATTACTATGTTGCATCTGCATTTTTAGTCTGCGACTGTCAAATATGACATATAAACTAAGTTAACCTACAAGTTTTCGATCTGTCAAGCAAATGCTTAAATGCACAATTTCTTTTCCGCCTGTTTCGCTAAGGGTAGTTTCATTTTTTTTACCATGATGGTGATTACATAACTTAATATATCCCACCAACCCGACTGCCAGATCACAGTGCCAGTTGACACATAACTATTATATGTTGTATTCATTATTAAATCACTTTTTTATCAATAATTTTTTTTTAGTAAAAGTTATCGTAAAACAAATTGAGAAAATATTATTTTAGAATTATAGATTCTGTACAATGCACAATATTTTATTTTGAATTTACCTGGCATGCGCAGCTACGTGACGTAAAAGTATATTCCAATTACTCCTAACACAACCATCACACCCACCACTGATGCCAATATAACCTTGTGCTGTATCGCCCTCATCATCATTCCCTTCACCAGACGAGTGGACCGGTTTAGGTCTGCATCTGTTTCTCGTAACTAGAACAAAATTTGTTAGCTAATAAAAATATACAGTCAAAACCGTTTATAACGACATTGAAGGGACCGTTTAGTTGCCGACGTTATATCCGAGAGTCGTTATAAACAATGTCATATACACAAGTACAGTACATATGTATGTACATAGTTATATTATCATAGTTATCTATCTATATATAATAGGTAGGTATGGGTTATAATATGGTATGTTATTATAATATGTAAAGGAGTCAAAAAAAGAATCAAAACTTTTAAATCAAACTGTTACTCACGCAGTCAATTAGCGAACTAAACATGTGTAAAGTATGCAAGGTCAAATGGCCGGGAAGAGGTTAGGATGAGGCGGGAGAAAGTGCGTAGGTAATAATATGCCTAATATTCATTCAATGCCTATAAATAAGATTTAAAATCGTTTGTATTGTTTTGTTTTGCTGAGACAAGAAGCGGTTGGTCGTTATAGCCGATGAATATAGATAAAATTTCGTCGTTGTAAGCGATATGTCGCTGTATCCGATGTTGTTATAAGCGGTTTGTTAACTGAATAGTATACTAGGGATTCGGACGGGACCATACAATCTGGTTGTAATAACCGATAGGTCGTTGTAAACGATGTCGTTATAAACGGTTTTGACTGTATGTAATATGCATAATTAACTAAAAAAATCAAAGATTAAAATCAGGTGTTTAAAAATTAAAAAAAAAGTGGAAATGATGCACCAGAATTCGAAGGAATATTCGATTAGAAATTTATTTATATCCATGACAAGTAAGAAAGAGACAATGCAATATATGGGATGACAAGATTGGATGAGAGAAATTTATTTTTTTACTTGAAATGTCTTGCAACATAAAGATGTAAGTTAGATTACATAGATGATAAATTAATTTAGTACATTTAGTTCAGTACATAGTACATTTTATAATATGTATTATATGTTTTGGGATATAATTTCATTTTGTAATCATTTTTCGATCGAAGTATCCAAATAGAAACCAAATCAAATTAGAAATATAGAATCAACATTAGTTTCATCTTGGTAGCACAAAGCATCATAGATATTTATTGGAAAATAACCTTAAAATAGAAATACAAAAACTTTAAAACTAAATTAAAAATAAACAAATTTATTTCCTAATACAGTAACAAAAAGTGGTATTGTTTCCAATCGACCCACTCAGTATAAGCTAAGACAGTATTTTATTACAACCATATTACATTTGTGTATCTAATATTACACCCAGTTACTTGAAATATAAAATATAAACTATTGAACAGATTACAACATGTAAAACATTATAGTGTATATATATTATGTATTCTGTATAAAAACTTAATTATTACATTGTCAATGGGAAATATGTTTCTCCGAATATTCTTACATAATATCCAACAGAGTTTCATATATAGAGATGACTTGTTGTCTCAAAACGTGATCAATGATACAAGTGCAAAAATGTATCTGACCCACATCCTAATCCTGTGAATTTTATATTAAAAACTTTCCTTATGGAAAATTTTTGTGGAAGGTAAAGTACAAATTTATAAATTTGATTGTGCTTTCAAAATTGTCATTAATCATATACACATTCAGAGCAAATGAAAGATTATTGTTATTATAAAAACACTTACCCTTGCCCTCGTCCTGTGTAAAGTTTCCCTTTGATGATGTAAGTCCTGCAGAACTGCATTACCAATTTGTTCTGTTTCCAGAATGATACGATAGCCTTCAGTCAGGTTTTTGCCAGACCGCTCCAGCCTCTCAGAATTGTCCAATAGCTTTTGATTTTGCTCATTCACTGTCGACCAGTCTTCGTAATCATCAGGATCAATATTGTCTGTGAAACAACAATATAAATAAAAAGACAATCACACTCAAGACAATTGGCTGGGTCCAAAATAAAATCGTTTTAAAAACCAATGATTAGGCAACAGGAATCTTCTCTTTATATTAATACTATACATGTGAGAGAAAATATAGGTAATACATTTAATTTGTATTTGTAATGTATATACTTGGAAAATTTTACCTTGGTTACAAAATAATCGACAATAAAAAACAATGGCCTAAATAAAAAATAATAAAAACTCATCACTTCAATTGGCAATCAATAAAGTATAATAATAATTGTTTAAGAACAATAATGAACTAACAAGCTTAATAACTTACAAGCTGCAGAATTGCTAATCACCGAGCGGTACTCTTCTCTAACACGCTGCAGTTCAGCACGATAGGCAGCAACCCTGGACCCAACACCTGAACCACGATACTCCAATTCTAATTGCTCCAGCTTTAAAAATTTAAAATATACAGACTTGCATATATATAATTTCATTTAAAATTATATTAAGACTATATTAGCGCATAATTCAGTACATAAGATTCACTTCAGCCATCCCAGAAGAATAATTAAACAAAAAATAAATTAAAATATATCAAATCTACAAAGTACCACTCCTGACAACTCTTTGCATACAAAAATGAAATTGTCTCTAAATTTCTAAAAGAATGTCTTACCAAATCATTAGCTTCCTCAAAACTTGATTGTATCTCTCTCGATAATTTGTCAGGATTATCTAAAAAATTAATAATATTTTAATTTGACAATTAAATTAAATTAGATTGTTCTTTTCTAAAATGAAATCAATAAATTATGCTCTCAGTACTCTGTAACATTCAATGGCAAATAATTATAAATAAATTTATTTATAAACTAATAGTACTTGGTAAGGCCTTTAGTTTTACTTGAATAATGTTAGTCCTTAGGAATAAGCTGCTTAAGTTTTTCATTACTATGTTAATATTGTAATTTAAAAGCAAAATCAAATAAAAGATGCTGAGATTCTTGAGCTGGATTGTAAGTGTAATTACATTTTTTAACCACCATTTTATTAACTGGAAACTTCAAAAACAACTTATGCATTAAATTACTTTAATTTTTTATTTTGAGATAATGCATGTATGTGACAAAACATATGCATTAACTTTATATGTTTATAATTCTTGTCATGTACAGTAACTCAGCTTTAATACACTTTAATTACTTACCGTCATTTCCCAACTTTAATCGACCTATTTTAGACGTGATCTCCGCTGTTAAAACTGAATATTGTTGTTCATATGATTGAATTAAGGTAGACATAATCAGTTTCTTTCCACTGCTTGAAAACAAAATCAGTCCACTTTTACACTTTTATGATGCGCCGTCACGTAATATTCAATTAAGTAGACCCGTATCAAAAAACATATTTAATTTCATCTTAGTTTTTTGTGAAGATTTATTTTAAAATAAGCTTGAGCATGTACATAACATTTAACAATACATTAAAATTTGAAATCGATTGAATAATGAATATTGATTGCGTTATTGACATCTGACTAACCGATATAACCCAGTATTGACTGTTGTGGGTAATGAAAACTTGACAGTTGACTCAATAAAATAAAAAAAATATGTTTAAAATCCGTACATATAATCAAACTGCAGTAACGTGTCTGTTAACTGTACAATAGATAAATTTAACAAATGAGTATATAGGTTTTTTTTGTAAAGGCTTGGTTTATGTAATTGCATTAATTTGAATCCAAGCTAATTCTTACTAACTACAGTTTATTGTGCCAATTTTGTGTGGCTAACATGATGGAATTTATCACTTCTATAATAAATATAATTTATAAACCAGTCATATTGTACAATTTGTCAAACTAGAGTGCATCAATAAGATTGAATCTCAAAAGTTGATGACTGATATTTAACTAGATGACAGAGATAGATGTATAAGTATTGTTCTCTAATATATTTCTATACATATCTCTATCTTCTTTCATACTCAAATTATAAGCGCCCATATTTATGTATACCTACTTTCTCCAAGTTTGAAAACAATGAGAATTGAGAACTGAAAAGTTAGCAGTGGGCGACCCATGACAGGTACTAGGGATGAACTTGTAGGGGAAAAATCGATTCTTAATAATCGATGTACTCTCTTTAAAATAAATCGATTATAAAAAAAGCGATTAACTAAAAATATCTCGATTTTATTATTAACTATTCGAAAAGTTGATTTTTTTGTTGTATATAATATAATAAACTTACTAAGTCAATAATAACTAAAACAAGAACGTTCGTTTTAAAATTGAAAATCTAAACAAGTTTTAAAAAAAATTCAAGAGTGAAGAAACTGAACACAAAATTATTACCACTAATTTTTAATACTATTTAATATAATATTGAATAAATATTTAATATAATATAGATATAAAACATAACGATTAATACAAAAGAACTAAATAATATTTAAGTATAGTAAGAAATACAAATTTATTTAAATGTAAAATTTGCATAGTAAAAGCTCATCAATTATATTTATGTTCTAGTATCATTTTACTAGAACATAAATATAATTAATTAATCATCACAAGAAATAAATTGAACTTTGCCTTTGGTCTCAACTCTAAAATACAATAAATTGAACCAAAAACAAACTAAGACAAATGATTGCCACAAATGTATCACTTAACATTTAAATAGAACAAAAAAAAATAAAACAATAATTGTAAGAAATAAAAAAATACAAGAAAATAATTAATAGAGTAAGTAATGAAACTGATTTAAATCGATTTTTAATATTTAGAGAATCGATTATTACTTCACTTCACTTCACTTCACTTTATTTATAATGGCGACATCTGTGTAAATCACAATTCCGCCAATGTCACGTTCTAAGTCTTCACACAGTGAGGATAGATTTGATAATTTTGATACATTGAATTTTATCTAAGCAGAGTTACCCAAAACAAAAATGACATCACAATAAATACAACACACACAGAAATCTAATAATATATACAAGAGGTTAACATTTTACTACAAGGTATGAAGGGGAGAATCTTATTTATAACTTTAATTTATTAACAGAAATAAATTTCCCTAATATTTTGACGATCGAGCTGGATGGGAGGGAAAGTAGGGAGTTAAGGTTACATGGACGAGGGAAATCTGGAGAAAGATGGTCAAATAACGAGTCATTATTTAAAGAACAGTTAAAAAATATATGGTCTGTCGAGCCCTCGTCCATACCACACTCACAGAGAGAACTGTCTTTTATTTTAATTTTGGCTAGATGAACGGGAGTACAAGCGTGCCCTATACGAAGACGGCAGATTATAGACGTGACCTTTTTGTTTAAAAACTTATATTTAAAAAACCACGGCGAAGAAGGGATTGAATACTGAATATTAGCATAGTGCCTGCCAGTTTTTTCTTTAGAAGATTGCCAATCAATAGTCCAGGATTTTAAAAGGTGGGAGTACGCAAGAGCTGATAGGTCGTGGGCCGAGATGTTGGGATGCTGACAAGATCCGCAGAAAATAGCACCTTTTGCACAAGAGTCAGCAGTTTCATTACCCGCTATACCACAATGACTAGGTATCCACAAAAGTACAATATGAATATCTTTTTTACTACACCTAAACAAAGCTTCTCTTATTTTTAGAATCGTATTATGTTTTTTTTAGACCTGAATGGATTGGAAAGAATTGCCTGTAAACAGCTGCGAGAATCGGAAAAAATTGTAACTTTATTTAGGTTGTGGGACTCAGCATACAAAACCGCTTCTAGGATTGCAAAAGCTTCACCTGAAAAAACGGAGGTCAATGGAGGAAGTTTAAAGCTCAATACTGTTTTGAATGAAGGGACCCATACAGCCGCACCGATGCACTCATTATTGGGAATCTTGGAAGCATCAGTATACATCGATAACCAACCCTGCCAGTCTTTTGAAATTTTTTCCAGAAAACAAGTGGAAGCTTGGGTGGATTTTTTTCAATTCCAAAGTTTAAAATTATTTTAGGATCAAAAATGAGGGATTCATAACTATTTAAAAACAAGGGATTCCTAGGGAAACTTTCAACAGGATTAGGAAGACGAGAAAGTTTATTAAAACTGTGTAACAGGCATGGAACATTACCTGTACTAGATGGCATCGTGAGATTAGATAAGCGACGTAATTTGGACAAGATGGAATGAGAAGAGTATTGAAGGACTTTGATGAAGAAGCGGTCACTTAAAAATTGTCTACGTAAATACAGGGGGGGGTCAACACATTCTATTTGGAGAGCATTGATGGGAGAGGATTTCATAGCACCAAGGATGATGCGTAAAGATTTCGATTGAATTTTGGAAATTTTATCAAGGGCTTGCTTGTTGCCAGGATCTAAAAGGAAGGTGCCATAATCAAAATGACTTCGTACCACAGCATTGTATAAAAGCTTTTGCGAGTAGGGGTGTGCTCCCCACCTCACACCAGATAATGAACGGAGAACATTAACACCCTTCTCACTTTTTTTAATCACATGGTTAAAATGAGGAACACCGTTTAACTTTGAGTCTAAAATAAGGCCTAAAAATTTTACTTGCTTACAACACGATACCAAGGACCCTTTATATGAAATGTTACACCGTGGAACCTTGTATTTTGTAGTAAACGTGACCGCCGAACATTTGGGCACAGAAATAGAGAGACCATGATCATTTAACCAATCACCCAAATAATCCAAAGCTGAATTTAGGCGTGATGATGCCTCTTCAATAGAATTTGATGAAAAGTATAAGGCTACATCGTCCGCGTATTGAAGAATCTGACAGAAGGAATTCACAACAAGCTCCAGGTCATAGGTGTAAATGTTGTACAGAAGAGGACTCAAAACAGAACCTTGAGGTAAGCCCCTCCAAATAGATCTAGGAGACAGCTCCGTATTTTGAGATCTTATAATAATATAACGATTCGAAACTGCATTGCAAACAAAACGTACCAACTTCTCAGGAATACTCAGCTGAAGCATTTTTTGCCTGAGCACCGGAACCAGCACGTGGTCATACGCAGATGCGATATCCAAGAAAACACCCACCAGGAACTGTTTCTTTTTAAAAGCAATGCGAATGTCGGTCGTTATTATACCTAGGCTATCCATCGTACTTAAGCCTTTCCTGAAACCAAACTGGGATTTTGCAAAGATATTGTTATTTTCACAAAACCATTCTAAACGAATTTTAATCAAATGTTCCATGATTTTTAAAAGGGTAGAAGACAAAGCAATAGGTCTGTATGAAGAGAAATCTGATGGATCTTTGCCAGAGAATCGATTATTAAAAATCGATCGATTATTTTGTCACATCTATGACAGCCGACAGGTACTACATACAAATTAACAACGTAACAAGTGCGTTAAATTTCCAAACATTCAAACAGGTGTATTTTTTGTAATTTAAATACTTGTAAAAAGACTTAACATTATTTAATTATATTTATATTGTTGTTAAGCTTTGCTTTTGATATCGTGCTACAACTCTTTTAAAAAACAAGTAAGTTACTTCTATGTACTAATAATTATTTATGTATAAAAGCTTTGGATTTACAGTTTGAAGATGCTATTTGATTTATTCTCAAAATAATTATCACCGATAAATTGATAAAAAAATCTTCAAAGAACATTGATAAATAGTTCAGTTTTGAAGAATTATTATTACGAATAAAAGTAGGTACATAAGTAAAATGTAATTTACAACTACTTTCATTTAAAAAGTTTGAAAATAGATTTATTTCTGTATTTCTTTTAACTAGTGAAAATAACTATCAATTTTATATATGGGTTCCAGATAAATGCTTCGTAACTGCGATGAGGATTCTGGAAGAAGTTCATGCTCAGCAGCTTCCATCACAGTTAGCCCTGTCATGGATTATGATTTTAAAGCCCAACATGCATATGAAGATGACAACCAGCTACAATCAGACACTAACTTGGTTGTTAGTACCAAACCTAGAAACTATATAAGTCTCATTAAATCTCCAGATGACAAAGATCCTTTTCCAAGTTGTAGGCTGCCAAGCCGCCAGAGAAAGGTTATTACAAATTTTTTTGACACACCAAGAATGGGTGGCCTTAGCAATGCCCATTCTTCATTAAATATAGCTAGCAGTACTCAAATTGAAAACTCCAGTATGCAGTGTAATGCTGTCTCCATGAATGGCCTAAATAAAGACAAATATACTAAAACTAAACAAGCACTCAATCATTTTAAAAGAACAAAACCTGTTCAAAGAGCAGCATCTAGATTATATAAGGCAGATATACAGAAGGGTAAGGAGGGATGTGTAGGTCCTGAGTTTATAGTTAGGGCCTCACAACCCGCTAAAAATATTGATTTAACTATATCAGCCCTGTGTGGCAAAAGAGTTATTACTGTTGTACTCCTTAATGGTCAAAAAGTTGAAGTATTATGTGATCCAAATACAATAACAGCAGGACAAATATTTGATGCTCTTGTTCAAAGTGAGAAGTATGAACATCATTTTATGCTTGGTATCGCTATCCTTATTGGTGGAGATTTTGTATTTTTACCAGATGACTACAAAATTAAGAAGATAGCTCCAGAAACCTGGCACAAATTACACCATAAAAAACAGAAATTACATGAAGAATGTATATCAATAACTATTTTTCTAAGAATAAAGTTTTTTTTGCCTAAAAATATTGCGAGTAATATTCAAGGGGGTGAATGGAGGTACAGGGTGTATTTACAACTACGAAGAGCAACTGTTGAAGGACAAATGATTTCAACCATACAGAATCTCATTTTGTTGGCTGGGTATGCTTTACACATTGAATTTGGTGAATTTTCTTATAGAGAACATGGAGCTGCTGATTACTTTCTTTTAGAACATTATTTGCCTGAATCTCTAATTACTAACGAAATGGCTGATGTTAAATTACAAATGAAGAAAGCTCATGAATCAAGAAGAGGTTTAGAAAGAAATAGAGCTGTGATCAATTATATCACTTTGGCACAAACATTCCGTGACTATGGTGCACATTTTTATTCTGCTGTATGGGCTACGAGAGATGGCTTTTGCAGAGATGTATGGTTATCCATTGGACCACGGGGGATAACATTATATTCTAGAACAAATCAAATAATTGAGTCTCCATCAACAAATACAAATCGAATTGTCCTACAAAGTTTGCCTTGGCATCATATACACAATTTTTACCATAACAAAAAAAGCCTTTATATAATACCTAATGCATATTCGGGGCTATCAAAGATTGGTATAAAATATAAGTTGAAAATGAGTGAAAATAAAAGTTTCTTCATATTCTGGTTGGCATCATTACATCATAGATTATATCTTAAGCTATATGCAAAAGAAGACTTTATTAATTATTTAACTGGTGAATCAAACTGCCAATACACTCCAGATAAAATAGATGTAAGTAATTATCAAGACAGTTACAATTTAGCAGTAAGGAATCCAGTTAGATTAAGAAGGCCAATTCGAAGAAGGTTTAAAGTTGACATATTTGGTGAAAAAAAAATTCAAGGTAAAGAAAATCAAAAGCCTGACACTGAAGAGCTTTTAAGGAGAATATTATCACCCCAACACAGTGATGATAGCCTGATACAAAGTCCCAATGGTCCTGAAAGCTCCTCAAATGACGGACTTTCATCTTCTGAAAGCAGTTTACCTAGAAGACATGGAGTTAAGATGGGAACAAGGGTATTCAATGGGATGAAATCATCAAACAGTGTTTTCAGAACTCCCCATTATGATAACTTTATCAAATCTGAAGGGGATCTTGCCACTACACAAAGTGATTCAGATGACTTAAGTTCAGATCAAAAACAACAGTGTAATGTCAACAGTATGAAATTGTTACCAGAAAGACCTTACAGTCAAAATATGTCTCAAGCCCCAACAGCATATGTCTTAGAATCCCCAAAAGTGTATCCTGATGCTTTTAACTACAATGATCCTAATGAATCATGCATTAACAGTTCAATATTTGAAAAGTTAGATAACATGGAATGTGTTCAAAGTGAAAGGATCTTCGTTACAGCAGTTTTAAAAAGAGATCAAACTAATGCTTTGGGTCTCCAAGTAGCTGAAGGTTCTGATGGGAATGTTTACATAAAATCAATCACTCCAGATAGTGCAGCAGATTCTTGTAAGAAACTTCTACCAGGAGACCAAATTATATCAGTAAATGGACAGACACTGCTTAATTTAAAATATGATAAGGCTTTAGCAATGTTACAATCAGCTCCTAGAAATGTTGAACTTATAGTTCTACAAAATGTGAACAAAAACATTACCACTGAGTATCAATCTGCTAATGAAGGCAAAGCTAAAGAAATAAGCCTAAAAAAAAGTATAGCTTCAATGGATGCCGATTTATCTGATGATGAACTATTGAATGAAGAGGCATTAAAGACTATATATGCTCTTATAAAATTGACAAAAGAAAAAGTTGTAAATAGAATAAAAGATAATTCAAGTATAGAAGTTACACCGCGGAAAAGCAATCTTCAGAAATGTTACTCAGAAATCAGACTAAATGACGATTCCGATTTGGGAGATCTTTCATCACAGGGTAATACACCAGAGAAAAAGAATGAAAAGAAGTTTAATACTTGGAGAGGTAATGTGCTTGAAAAATATAAACGGAGACCCCTTAGTTTGAGCATTCCAACTGATGTTAATTTGCCAGATGATTATTTAGACAAAAGTTGTGAAGATTCATTTAATAAGTCCTCATTGAAATGTATACAATCTTGTCTGATTGAAAAGGATAAAGAAGAAAAAAGTGATTTAGCAAAAAGCATTGCTTTACCACGTAATTTTGGCTTCAGTAGGCGATGGTTGGGTCCCGTAAGATATCCTGTGACTCCATGTAAAAATAGCAATATGAGTGCAATTCCTAGTGATGATGTTGTTCGTAGGCATTTTATATATGGGGCCGGAGATTCAGATGAAGATCAAATTTTTTTATAAGTTTTAATGATATTATTGACAAATATTTTATAAATATAATAAAAGTATATTTCTATATAAATCTCTTCTATGATTTCTATTTTGTATTGTGGTTCTTGGTACAATGTTACATTAGCATTAGAATATATAATTTAGGAAAATCAAATGTTAAGCCTTGACATAGTTATCCAACATACTGACATAGTACCTTAACAAATATTAGTACTATTACATAACAAATCTATGCAGTGTATGGAAATATTATTCCTAAAATGTTTTCGAAAATAAGTAAACTGTTGCGAAAAAAACGGCCACCTAATTTACGTTCTAAGGCCGATTTCAGTTAATTAAATGAATACATGAATAATATAATATATGAATTATGGCAATTTGTTTTTAAATTTTTGCTTAATTCTGAAAAACCGATGTACAAACATTAAAATGACTTAATGTAAATAATTATAAAATAAGGCTATAAAGACGAAGAATTTTTTACTTATTTAAATAAAATAAAGTAAAAATGCCTAATAACGAGTATCTTCTCAAAATTACCGCTGGAATCCATCTGGCTGCTTTCCACGATGTTTTTAAAAACGTTTTGAGGAATACATGCCCACTCTTCTGAAATTACTTGTCTGTTTAGAACATCCCAAACATGCTCAATAGGTTGGAGGTCAGGGCTTCGAGCTGGCCGATTTAAGGGAAGCATTGTCGTTTTATTTATCGAGTCGAGTTTTTAAGAATAGATACTCTAAAAATTATTGACACTATCTATGATTAACCTAACTATATAAGCAGCAATCAGTTCATTGACCTTCTCAATAATGCATGTTCATTCAATAAGGCTTATGATAAACTATTTTATAGGTTTCACTTATTCACTCTAATTTGAGTTAATGTAATTAACTTAGTTTAATCCTAATTAAAATTTACTAAATTTTAGCCATCATTGTTAATTCTATTTATTTATATAGTCCTATATTATATAGTAATATATTATTAATTAGGCTTTTAAATAAATTTGCCCTTGATTGTTGGGAAACACATTTATTGTATAATAAAATTGTTTGTATGCTTGGCCATGAAATAGCAAAGGATTGTATTCTATTATAATGTATTAATTAAATGAAAATACAGTTTTCGTAACATTATGTATTGTAAAAATAACACTGTGCTCCACTGAAGCAAACATTAAACTAAATAATTCTAAGACAGCCGTCTCTAATCTAACACAATCAGACTCCATAAAAATATATTCATTCACTGCACATATTAAATGCGTAACACATACATTGCAATCTTACTCAGAGATAATTGTTCTTTGTATAATAAATGCAAGTTTACAAGCAGTTTAGTTTACATCATTCCCCCCATTCCTCCCATACCACCCATTCCTCCCATACCTGCCATAGGGTTAGGTTCCTTTTCCTGTGGAATATCACAAATAACAGCCTCCGCTGTTGTTAAGAGAGATGCTACACCACTAGCATCTGTCAATGCTGTTCTCACAACCTTAGTGGGGTCAATGATACCTTTCTCAATCATGTTGACATACTCATTGTTCAAGGCATCATATCCAAACTCAGGGCCAAGGTCTTCAACTTTGGCCACAACGACTGAACCGTCAATACCAGCATTACGGGCAATGGTCATGCATGGCATTCTTAAGGCTTTTTTAATGATTTCAACACCAGTGGCCTGGTCAGAGTTTGATGTTTTAAGGTCATTTAGCATTGGGATACATCTAAGAAGTGCTGAACCACCTCCAGGAACAATACCTTCTTCAACTGCAGCACGAGTAGCATTCAGTGCATCATTAACCCTGTCTTTTTTCTCATTGACCTCAACTTCACTAGATCCACCTACATGTAATACAGCAACTCCAGATGCCAACCTAGCAAGACGCTCTTGAAGTTTTTCCTTTTCATATTCAGAGGTAGTTTCTTGAATCTGATCACGTATTTGCTCTGCTCGTCTATCAATATCAGACTTCTTACCCTTACCCTTCAGGAAGAGTGTGTCATCTTTAGTAATAATAACCTCACCAACTTGACCAAGGTCAGAAGGCTGAACATCTTCTAGTTTGATTAGGTTAGCATCATCACCAAATAACACACCACCAGCAGCTATGGCCATGTCACTGAGGGTAGCTTTCCTGTTGTCACCAAAGCCAGGAGCTTTAACAGCAGCAACCTGAAGACCAATCTTGAGTCTGTTCACAACAAGAGTAGAGAGTGCCTCACCATCAACATCCTCAGCAACAATTACCAAAGGCTTCCTCTGTTGGTTAGCTAATTCTAGGGCAGGGATAATGGTTTGAACATTGCTGATCTTTTTCTCAGAGAACAAAACAAGGGCATCCTGAAATTCAACTTTGGCACCCTTGGATGAGTTGATGAAATATGGTGAAATATAACCTCTATCAAACTTCATGCCTTCTATGACTTCCAATTCATCGTTTAGGGTCTTACCGTCCTTTACTGTGATAACTCCATCTCTTCCAACTTTTTTCATAGCGTCGGCAATGAGCTTCCCAATAGCTAGGTCTCCGTTAGCTGAGATTGTTGCCACTTGAGCGATCTCCTCGGGGGTTGTTACGGGTTTTGACATATTCTTTAGTTTGTCTTTTACCGCATCCACAGCCAACATAACACCTCGACGAATTTCAATGGGGTTCGCTCCTTTGGAAATCTTCTCGAAACCTTCTTTTGCGATAGCTCTGGCAAGTACTGTAGCTGTAGTTGTACCGTCGCCGGCTTCTTCATTAGTGTTATTAGCAACATTTTGTACTAACTTAGCGCCTATGTTCTGGAATTTGTCCTTAAGTTCAACACCTTTGGCAACTGTCACGCCGTCTTTGGTTATTTTCGGCGAGCCCCAAGATTGTTCCAAAATCACGTTTCGCCCTTTTGGACCCATTGTGACGGCAACTGCATCGGCTAATATATCCACTCCCTGGAGCATCAGAGCTCTTACATCAGCTCCGAATCTCACATCTTTGGCGTAACATCTAGAAAGATGGTGTGCTTTTTGCACTGAAACAGTTTGTCGGAGTACACGCGGCAACCTCAACATTTTCTTATTTATTTAAAAAAATTGCAAATGGAATGAAATAATGGCCTTCACAGAAGACTTCGAACTCACGCTTCTCGAAGATTCTGAAATCTCACTGCACGATTGTCGAACTCAAAACGTGATTCTATACCGGTACGAGGTTATGTCATTGGCCAAAGACAATAGAATATAGATTAATTTTATCTTTTGACAAAATTCTTTTACTTTTAACTTTTGCAAAGAGTTTATATTTATTGATTTAGTGAAAATTTTAACTAATAATGAATTTAGCTAAAAATATAAAATAATACATTCCTGCACAGTCAACGCCCTTTAGTTTATAATAGTAGCCTTACTTAGTCTATACTTCTAGATATAATAAATTGACTTAATCTAAAGAGACATTGACGTTAAAGTTTGACAATTGTCAGCAGCGAATTTGAAACGCCACACTTCAACTCAATTTGAAATTCAGTTTTTTTTCAATCTGCGAATTATTTTATGTTAGTGAACACGTTTTTCTTTGGATAGCATGCGGTAATATTTTGTTACAAATTAAATCGCAATTGAATAAACTTTTTAATTTATAATTACTGTCTTTCAGTTTTAGTTATTATTTCTTAAATCTAGTTAAATAATTATTACATAATGGCTAAAAGGTGAGTTAATTTTCTTATTAAGAACCATTTGCGGCGTGCGTATTTCATTAATTAAAAAAAATACAGGATAAATGCTTATAAAAAGAGTAATAAGATTTATTCAAAAATAAGCTTATATCTCGATTATTATTATTATATATTATCGATATCGATTCATTTTTGTTCTAAATTTTATTACGTTTTTCATTTAAAAAATGTGGGGTATGTTTCTTTTGAAATAACCTCTAGTGAAACATTTGTTTAAAAACAATCACATATATAACGGCGGCTAGATAGCCAAAGGCTGGTGTAAGGTATTATAATTCAAAATAATATTTTTTACCCAAGTAAAGTTGCAGAAGACTGAGTAGAATATTGTATTTATTTATTTCTTTGCATGAAATGTTTTATAGTATTTCATATTTCAGGACTAGTAATTATTAACATAATCATTTGGTTACACAAATAACTATATATTTTTTCAGGTGTGACTGTAGTCAAAAAGGCCTGCTAGTTGGTATTGGTAATCCCTTGCTGGATATATCAGCTATTGTGGATGAATCCCTTCTTCAGAAATATGAACTGCAAGCCGATGGAGCCATCATGGCTGAAGACAAGCATATGCCACTCTACAAAGAGCTTATGGAAAAGTAAACATTATTTATCATTGCCTAGATATAGATTAGGATTTTTGACTTTTTAATGTTGAATGATAAAAACAAGGTATAAGATGTTTCTTGTGTATCAAGATTTGTCAGTCAAGAGTGCACCCCCTTTTGTGAAGAGACGATAGCTGTTATATGCTTTGCTACTTCTACTATTATTGTTTTGCCAATAATCAATTTCAGGGCAACAATAACCAGTACTTAACTACTTAAATATAGATAGATTAAATAGGTTGAATTTTTTTCATTATATTAAATATGACTCTAAATAGTCATTTAAAATATTACCAGAATTATTAAGAAACAGATCAACTAGCCTGTTGGAAGAGTGCCCGTTATGCTTAATGTTTATGAATGAATGTGTGCTATTCAAATGTATACCTTAGCAACTAAGATATTCATTGAAATATGTATTAGGGTTAATTTAATAAAAATCGGACAGAATGTTCCATTTACTAAAAAGTATTTACCATGGGTTACTGTAGGACTATGAAAATGACGACTAAGAACTACTGTAAGACTATAAAGGTATAGTCAACAACATTAACTTTTATTTATTATTCTAATCCTTAGTAAACACATGCTTAAATAATTGAAAATCATCTTATTTATTTTGAAAAGTGAAGATGACCGTTTAAATTTAAATTATCATTATAAATACACAAAATATCTTGTGTAGTTTAACCCCATTATAATTTGTTGGATACATTTAAGCTACTTGTTGACAACAAAATTTTTAAAACGCCTTAAAATAATCAAATTGTTAATTCCATAGACACAATGCAGAATTCATAGCTGGTGGTAGTGTTCAGAATTCCCTACGTGTGGCACAATGGATCCTTAAGAAACCTAATGTATGCACATACTTTGGTTGTGTGGGCAATGACGATTACGCACGGATTTTAAGAGAAAGAGCAGAGTAAGTAAATCTATCTTTAAAAAAAAAGTTGCTTGCTGTGTCAGTTTCTAACGGACACATAAGAGAATGTTAAACGAAAGACCAACTGATGGCGCGTTTCGTTTGATTGTGATTGGTCAAACGGAAAGAGGGTCCGTGTCTGATTGGACTAGATATTTTATTGACATAATATGAACTAATGCGCGTGTTATGGTAGATGTAAGAAGAAATAAAAAACTAAAATAATCTTAGTCATCACTAAATTTTCTTTTAAAAATCTTAAATCAAGTCAATACTAATCCGTGGTTAATTTTATGTTGCTTGAAAAAAAAGTGTTACGCATTCTTATTGTCTTTTAAATAATTTGTATTTTAACCTTGACAAGACTTATTATTCAAAAGTGGTTTCGTTCTACTTGCAAATTGTGTTATGAGTTGGTTGTTTATAAATTATTTTTATATGTATGAAATTGTCACAATAGCAATTCTGATCAAATGTATGTTTATTCCACGTGTGGACATGATTGGATGGTATTGATAAAAATGAATCGCAAAATATGTTGATAAGCGAAATACTGCTGGACCAATTCGAGTATTATTGTATTATTAAACCTTGAACTCTGAGACAAGTTTGATAGAGATAAATGTTTTAGTTTCTCTAGTACTTAGACTAGGACATAATTGTAGGTATAATTTCAATTAGTTTTATACCGTAGCGTAAAAGTATTGATTACATAACAAGATTTGATTGAAGTTATACTTCTTTTGGCGCAAAAGGATGAGAGTAAATTTTTACGATTACGAGTCACAAAAAACCGACACCCTGAAGTTAGCTATATTCAACATTTAAGTTTTTTGTGATATTTAAATAAACTTTATTTAACTAGATAATGCGTTATAATAAAACTTTCAATGTATTAAATACCTTTTTTCTATTGTTAGTGTCGTTTTTTCTACAAACGTACTATACATTTTCTTTAACGATTTTTATCAGCCAAAGCCAAAGAAGTATAACTTCTAACGCGTGTACATAAGTACACACACATAATAATATTTTATCTCCAGGTTTCAGATAGATTATACTCTTATTATAATTTCAGTAGCATAATACAACTTTGTCCATAGTTTGGATTACTATCAAAATGATTTTATTACCTCATTTTGATTACAATACTATCTTAGTTTGTGACGGCTTTTATCAGTTCAAATAGCCTTATCATAGACCAAGGCAAGTCATGTTACTGTCGTGTCAAGAGATAATCATGATATTGTACACATTGGACGTCTATTTAATTAATAATTAGTAAACAGATGCATAAATAACGTTATTTGCGCTCTTTATTATTATTTAGTGATTCTCAGATAATCTATTTCTATGTATGTCGGTTAGGATTTGAAGGCGGAGGTCGGGTACTTGGCCTATAACTCAACACTAAGACATCTCAGAGGCATGGGAGGATCGTGAATTTGTGGGGCTCTTACCTATTACCTGGAAGTCCCCCGTAATAGAGGGACACACGAAAACTACCTATTACACTTTGATCTCAGGAATACCTTACGATTGGTTTTTTTTTAATTGCAGATATTTATTTTATTCTAAATTTTGCCTATGGTTTTCAATGGAGACTTGGGGCCTTTGTAGCCACGGGGCCCTGGGCCGCAGCCTAAAAATCCCTTAAGTAGATCGCTCCTGCTCAGAGGGTTATAAGCGTTGAATGGTTTCACGGAATTTTAATAAGTATTCAGAGAATAATATATAATCGACTTTAATTAGTTTCAGTATTTGTTTAATTCTACCATTTCGCTCATCGCAAACAATCATTTCGACTGTGTAAATTTTTTACGGTGATAAGGTGTTTTGCATATAAATTAAACACGGCTATACTGTATTGTGTAAAATAGTTGCATTACGAATTGAAAATGAACAATAGCATGAACATATACTATTTAATTTAATGTTTTAATTAACAAGCATTAATTAGACTTACTTAGACACCCAGGGGTCGGGATCGGTCGGTCAGAGCGCAAATTATAATTAATTTTGTGCAAATTCAAATGTAAAAATCATTTATTCATTTAGGTAACACAATGTCCACTAATTATGAACGTCAATAAAGAAATCCATATTAAATGCTTCTTATTTAACATTTACTGCCAGTTCTCAAATAAAGAGCATAGAACGGACGAGAAGAACTGGCAATAAACTCTTCGCCACTCTTTAATCGCCAAATTTCTTGTATTACTCAATGTTTGTCAGCTGCAACAATTACACCATGTTACACATGACATCTTTAGCATTAATAGTTAATGAATAACAAAAAACTTGTCCTCAATCAGCAGAAGCATTGTGAAATAGGAGCACGAAAATACATAGTCGAAATAAATCGGCCTGTGCTTCTGGTGTAGTAGGGTGGAATTTATATAGCAATTACATATATGAAATGTTTAATACAGTGGTACCTCGACAAACGAGTTTAATTCGTTCCGTAGCCTTGCTCGTATTACATACAATTTTCCTCGTTTAAATTAATTCAAATGCCATTAATTCGTTCCAGCGCGGCGCCCAAAATTTCAACCAATTCAGTTGTTGAAGTGAAAAGTGTGATTTAAAAGTCGATTTCTACACTGTATAATGCTTCCTATCTCATTTTTTTCCACGTTAAATCTTATGAATTAATGTGTTTGTCTCTTTTTCATTTCATCGACTTTCAAACTTTAATTATTTTAATTTTATCAAAAATAAAGATTGATATTAAATTTAAAAATTAAAATTGGAATAAAAACTACATTTAGATAATGAAAATAAGTCTAATTTAAGTATAAGTAATTATAAAAACGTTTAATCATTGTAGTTTTTACCAAAATTAATAATTATATTAAACTTAAAATTAAAATTAAATTCCTCTCATCACCTTGAAACCAAAATTTTTGAAGGTTTCACTTCTACTGTGTGAATTGCACACATGCTTTTTTTTGTTAAGTGTTTTTGGATAAGAAAAGATTTCACGCTTTAATTCTATAGACATCATCTTCGGACCCATCCATGGTTATAAAAATAAATGTGATAATGTTCTGTAACGAGGTAAACAAGTAAACACACAGGTCTTGTCTGAGGTGGGAGATACTGCTAGTGTAGTGTGAAGTCAAATCTTGCTCTCTTCTCAAAGCAAAATATCGCTCGTAATCGAGGTACTGTACTCTTTTACGCCGTGTCGCGTACGGCGTTCTTGGAAATGACCTTCGAAATATTGGAGTACAACAAGCAAAGTACTACAAAAATAATTATTATGGGAGTCAATTAGATTCAATTTGTACCTATTAAATATAGTGGTTACACATTGAATAGCAATTTAAATACCCTTTGTTGGCGCTTTTCTATCACTATCTCGATGCCCGCGATTTTGTTGAATATTCATTCACGTTTAGATAAGGAAGTTAATATTTATATAATTGATTATTCTCGTAATTTTTTTTGGCGTCTCGTTGCAAATCTATGGAAATTAAATTAAAAATTACGCTACAATCTCTTATTAATTCATGAAATTTTGCAAAACATTCTTAATTCACCGTTGTATCGAGTAACTGAAGTACTCTTTTGTCCCGTTCTGATAAATTGTGTTCACGCTGTGGTCAAAAGAGACAGATGTGTACTTTAGTTAACGTTTAACAATTACACTGATTTACTATACTATAGTATTACTGTTGGGAAAAATACAATAATAATCCTTGGGATTGTATGCTCCAGTTCAAACAATTTGTATGACTCAAAACATAGCGATTAAAAAGAGTGGCGGAAAGTTTCTTGCCAGTTCTTCCTGCCCGCTCTACGCCCTTGACTTGCGAACTGGTAATAAATGTAAATTTAGAATTAATTTAACTTCTTTTCTGACGTTCATAAGTGCACTTGTTTACCTATATGAATAAAATTATTTCCACTTTTAAAATCTCTCTCTAATATATAACTTTGTTTGTTAAGCAATAAGCATAAATATATATTTTAACGCGTTTGTAGGTTTATAGGTTATCAGTTATCTGTATATAAGTAGATAACGCCCCTTTACCTAACTAAATATATACTAAGTGTATCAGATTCTTTTTTATCATTAAAAGCTAAATTTTGATACCACTGAACTTATGAACAATTGTTTTTGGTTATTTACAGACATACGAACAGATTCATTAACTAATACGAGTCAATTAGTAAGAGGAAAATAATTAAATACTATAAATAAGTATTTTTTTAGGAAAATACGCGTAATAAATTATCTCTTAATCAATCTAATAAATACCTATTTTGAAACTTACTTATAAGTAATATTGCCATATGAAGTGAAAACTATCTTAGACTCGTTTACGAATCTTTTATACATACATTTTACACGACTATTTCTAACATAAAAAAGTGCGTGCTTACAAAGTACACGTCGGAAGTGAAACTTCTTTGTAAATTATTACTAATGGTAGGGGAGCCCAAGAGGGGATTTCGGGATTTACTAAAGCGCGGCAGATTAATATATAGGGGGATACCTTGTACCCGGTTAAGTACCTCCACAAAATATGAGGCCCATATATAAGGCCGCACGTGAAGGAGACAGGATCAGTTAAGTAAAAAAAAATTGACCATCAGAAATTCCCGAGCGCGTCAGATTAAGGTAGGGTGAGTTAATTACATCCTAAAAAGTGTATATTCCACTAATCTGACAATTTGAGAGTGACGGAAAAAAGGGGAGGGCAACAAAGTTGTAAAAAAAAACGTCATCTCGACATTCTCGAGCGTAGCTAATTTTTTTTATTTTGAAGGAAATAATTCAAGAATAATGAAAAATATATAATCTGACGATTTCCGCAAGCCGAAATAACAAAAATTCGTCGATAAAGTTAAATGCGTGCAGCTGCGTGATGCCTACATTTCCTTAAACCGATCGGAATCTACTAAACGGCGTTCTAAATATTTCCCTCAAAATTACATTTTCTGTGAATTTGAACCGATTCGGACCGATAGATTTTGAGAAATTTTGAAAAATCTTAAAAAAATAAGAAATATTTTTTTTTAAAGTGGTTTCTTTATCGATCAACTTCAAAAACTAATCCGCCTTTGAGCTTGAAAAACCACGTCGATCGCCACCAAGCTGGTCAAAAGCGGTTGATTCGTTCGAGAGATATCGTATACGAAAGAAACCCGAAAAAGTGTTTAATCGGGATTACTCCGAAATTTGTGGTTCGATCAATTAAAATTGCAAAATCACTTATGAGAATGATAAAACTGCGTCGAATGCCGCCAACCGCGTGAAAATTGCTTGATCCATTCAAAAGTTATTGAGGTTTGAAAATTCCAAAAATAGTGTTCTATGAAACTTCTATCAGACTTTCGAGCTGGGAGAGCTCAAATGCATAGAAATGTTATTTCTTTGAACTCAGCGAGCTCAAAATATCAATTTTAAGCGCCCAGGAATGGAATTAGCGGGAAGTTGCAGGGATGGCCCTTTAGGTGAACCGTTTTTCTATTTTTTTTTGTCAGATCAGGCGAATCCCTCTAGATAATCGTCAGATTATGAGACAGTACGTTTAGAACATAAAGAGGAACCACATATATCTTAATCTGACGCGCTTGAGTATTTCAAAATTGCGATTTTTTTTTGCAAATTAAGAAAATGGCTGTGGGTTTGCGTCCCATCGAAATCGTCAGATTAGTGAATGAGAGCTTTTTTTTGGTGCACTTAACACTCCCTTAGAAAATCTGACGCGCTCGATAAATTTTTTTTTTTTTAATTTTCAACCCTTAAATACAACCACCCGCATCATGCAAACGATCAGATTAACATACGTACATTATTAAAAATACGTAGGGCATAGATGCTATCAATATCTGACGCGCTCGAGGATGTCCATGCAACAGTTTTTTTTACATATTTAACTATCTATAGCCGCTTCCCCCACCGATGAAAAGGAATTTATCATATAACATTTTTTTCTTCTTTTTATCTAAGCTTTGCATCCCAATAGGTCTCTACGACGCTCGAGTAAATCCCCATTTAGCATCGTGGGCTCCCCTACCCTAAGGTGAAACCCCAATAGATGAACATGTACCAGTATATGATCACTCCATGTATTTATGTATCTATACTCACACTGTTTACACACTGTATACGTGCTAATGTAATAAATAAAATATCTGGGTTTACTGCACAAGACTTTATGCGACAGAATTGCCATCTAAAGTTCTAATATGTCTCTATCTCTCTAATCGAATCGAATACATCAACCAATAGCGTGTATTTTTTATCGATCTCCCTTTCTCTCTCAATCTTTCTCACTATAGTTCTCTCCCATCTCTCGCTCCATGGCACTGTGCGTGATGCGACGTTCGCTCTATTTCACTGTCTCTATCTCGATCTTTCTCACTTGCTTGCTCCCTACTCTCCTTCGCCCTTTCTCACTCTCTCTCAATCGGTCTCAATCGCTCTTTCCCTTTTATTCGACAACAACGCTGCACATCTTCGTGACGCTAATAGTATTATTATTATTGCGTTTCATCCGTAAAAAATTTATCCTCGTGCGCCTATAGAAGTTTCACTTCAAAAAACTTTATAATAAATAACAATGTATGATAGTTAATAATTAACAAATTAATCTATTTTATATTGTGTTATATTCCTAGGACAGACAAGGCCGGCCATTGCCCCTACTAATTATTCACGTTTCGTTATTATTTGCATTATAATGAATTGCTTAAAATTAATAATCACTATGCTATGTATATCTAATATATAAAATTCTCGTGTCGCGGTGTTTGTAGTTAAACTCCTCCGAAACGGCTTGACCGATTCTCACGAAATTTTGTGTGCATATTGGGTATGTCTGAGAATCGGACAACATCTATTTTTCATCCCCCTAAATGTTAAGGGTAGTCCACCCTAATTTTTTTTTAATTTTTAGATTAATTTTCATTTTTTTATGATATAACATTTAAAAATACATATAACCCCTAATTTTCACCCCTCCACGATCAACCCCTATTTTTTTATTATAAATGATATGGCAAAACGACGTTTGCCCGGTCAGCTAGTTATATATATAAGCCTTCGCATTGTTAAGGAAACTTTGAACTCAAAGCGTAACTTAGATATATTACTCTTTTGTGATGTCTTCTCTAATCCCCTACTATTACTATTTCCAGGGCTGAAGGAGTAACAGTCCGGTACCAAGTAACAGACGAAGCTCCAACCGGAACATGCGCCGTACTAGTTACAGGAACTCATAGGTCATTATGTGCTAATCTTGCTGCAGCACAGAAGTTCACACCAGATCATTTGGGGAAGGAAGAGTGTCGGAGGAGTATCGAAAGCGCAAAATTCTTCTATGCATCTGTAAGATATTGCCATAATGAAATATTTTTAGGGATGTCTGATGATCCTATCTTAGTCTAGTCGACAAGTTGAAAATGGTACAAAATAGAGATACTGCTCTTAAAATTATGTGCGATAAGATTCTGAAAGAGGAGGAAATTTCCAATAAAAAACTTTTTTCCTTCTTTATTTGAAATTTCTTAAATATTAATAGTTTATTAAATATTGGCAAAAAACTAAATGCCATTTTTTTTTCATCTTTAATTGTCTATAACTTTTGCAATTTTTTATGTGCTAATACACGCTTTTAGCACATTTTTCTAGACGTCATTCCGGATCCAATGAGCTATCGCACATAATTTTAAGAGCAGTATCTCTATTTTGTTCCATTTTCAACTTGTCGACTAGACTATCTGTTGATTTTATCCGTAGTATAGTTTTTTTAAATAAATTTAAGAAATGTATTAAAGAAAAGCCGTGTAAAAAGGCTTACTATAAAGTTAACGATTATCTAGTTGATATAAGGGCCTGGGACTAGTGCTAGACAGGCTACTTTTAATTAATTTGCGATATGTAAGGAGGGATGTCTACAGGTTCAAATTTAATGACGTGGAATAAGTGATACCTGTATCTTATGTGTCATAATAAACATATTTTATTTTTAGTAGTTATTCAACTTGGCAATAATTTAAATATTTTTTCTGTAGGCAGGATTAAGATAATTTTATCAAATTTGAATTTAGTTTTATAGATAGATATTAGATACTGTTTTCTATCGGCGATATTGATTTTGAGATCTAAAATATGACATATACAATACCAGTACAGCTTGGTTAAACTGACATATGAGAAGTAACATACCGCTTTCAAACGATGATGGTACTAATATGTATTTAAAAAGTACACAATATTTATAAATTAAAATAATCAGTATCGTCATAGTACGAATAATATTTATTATATTTTTAATTCTATTTGCAGGGTTTCTTCGTAGCAGTATCACCCGAGTCTATTATGCAGCTCGCCCAACATGCGCATGCGCATTCACATACATTCGTTATGAATTTGAGCGCACCTTTTGTTTCCCAGTTCTACAAGGAACCATTAACACAAATTATGCCTTATGTGGATGTTTTATTTGGTAATGAATCTGTAAGTAGTATTTTTATATTTTATCTATGTTTAAGAGATAATTTTGTGTCTCTTATATTGTTAATTTTTCCCTATAGGCAGTCTGTGCTACACATGTCAGATATACCTGTTTTATCACGATATATCATATCCTTTCAAGACAAGAGGGTGTCAATTCTTTACTCTTAGGGGCAACGTATTTGCGAGCCTTCTGACAATGTGAATGTCCATATTCGTTATCACTTAACATCAGGTGAACCCCCTGCCCGTTCACACCCAGTTCAAAAATCACCATACAAACAAGTGTTAACACATTCATGGAAGAGGCCGAGGTTCGAAGGCATAACCTCCAACCATCAAGGTTGTGTTTCAACCAAATACAGCATTCAAACAATTTATTGCATGCAATAACAAGTAAATCAATTGGATTATAATAAAACTATTTTCTTTTATAAACAATCAAGTTTATTTCAATTATCAATCTTGTTCCCTATGTAATTAACATTATGCTCTATTGTGGCCGAAGATTTTAATATTTTGGTCTAAAGCTATTTCTTCTATCCACCTTTTTTTGTTTATCTTGTTAAATTTATATTTGAGAGAAACGACAGTGACTAAATATTCTATGTAAATATGTTACAACTAAAGTATGTTTGAAACTTAGACCAATTATAGATTTATTAATGTTCAATCAATAATATGTCATCATCAAAAATGTAAAATCAATATTATACGGACTTTGACCACAAATTTTATTCATATTGCGTATATATACCTTTGAGCAATGCTACAATAATGATGATATTATAATTAAGAGAAAATGAATATGTATGTTTAGTAAATTTCTAATAAATGTTATTAAGAAAACACTCAATCCATCCCCATATAACAAAAAATAATTTTATATAATTTATTATTTATTTCAGGAAGCGGAGGCATTTGCACAAGCCTTCAATATAGCTGAAACGGATTTGCAGCAATTAGCCCTCAAAACAGCCGCTTTACCAAAACTGAATTCCCGAAAACGTGTTGTAGTAATCACCCAAGGAAAGGACCCGGTGATTTTAGTGGAGGGATCCAAAATATCCTTAATACCAGTTATTTACTTGACCCGGGAACAAATTGTGGACACTAATGGCGCCGGGGATGCGTTCGCCGGGGGTTTTCTAAGTCAATTAGTTATGGGAAAGTCCTACGAAACATGTGTCAAGTGTGGTATTTATAGTGCAACTCATATAATACAGCATTCGGGCTGCACTGTTAGTGGTGAAAGTGATTTTCAAGAATAATTTTATTAAGCCACTCAAATGTGACTTAAAATAGCTATAATTTCCATATCAACGGGTAGATAGATTTCAAATATTGAGAGTTCATAAGATTGTATCATTATTACTTTAAATTCTCGTGAACTGTAATGAAGATTTATGTTAAGTTTTAAAATACACTAAAGGTCAGTAGTCACATACGGTATTACTCGATAGTTTTACTCGAAGTCGAGTCAAAATCAACGTGTGTACCGCAAAACTCACAGCTCGAAGGCTCGCAGCGAGCCGGCTCGATGGAATTAAATGAAAGTAATTTCCTTCGAACCTACTCAAAGCGACCCGTCAATCTTGACTCGAACGTGTGTACGTGACTGCGAGTGGCGCGAGGCGAGCGTCAGTCTGGTATTGTTTATCGTGATTCGTGATTGAAACACGTGTTTTTAAGAGAAATGGATTTGCGAGTTTATTCCAAAAGCGCTATAGAAGACTTTATCAACACATATAGACAGTATAAGTGTTTATGGAATGTCAAGTCCAAAGTTTACTCCCACAAAAATAAGAGAAATGAATGTTATGATAAATTACTAGCTGTGCTTAACGTTTTTTTCTTTTCATTTTCTTTGATTTTCTTATAAAGCACTGTGATACTTGCTAAATATAGCCACCGTTTCCTTTGTTGCACAGAGATCCTTTGGCTCAAACGGTTCGGTGAATACTGAACGGCGCGCCTCACTCGATAGATCAATGCTCAATGTGTGGACGAAAGCCCATGCCATGGGTTTTACTCGACAGTTTAGCTTGATCGAGTAATACCGTAATATTGTACCAGTCTTTTAAAAGAATGTCTCTTTGATATGTCAATGTGACCTTTGTTTTTTAATCGACAATATTCAATTAATATCAATAATGTAGGTACTTTTACTTGAAAGAAATCTATTTTTTTGAGTGAGACCAGAGAGTCGAGAGTGCAACCTAACAATGTTAGTGTTGTTAAAATTATTTTGTATTTACCGTAATATTCAGCAATATACATGAAAAGCAATATGTAAATTTTGTTGTAAATGTCTGGATGTTTATCATTATTTACTGTGTAAGTTTAACTTAATTTTCATTTGATTGTTATGAATTCAATACAATTGTTTTTGCCTAACAAAAGAAAATGAAATAACTGGCATCATGAGTTTATTTTGCATAGAGACAATAGAGCAATGTAGACTTTAATGTTATATTGATAGGATTTTTTTAAATTTCATTTAAAAGAAATTGGTAACATAATTATAAAATATTGTGCTAAAAGCATGTTACCATAAAAATTAATATAGTTTTAAGCACTGTTAAAACTGTTACTTAAAGGGCCTTTAAGTTTCCTTTAAAGTCTAAGTTACAATTACAGTACAGAATTTAATTTAATGCACAATATTACATCAAAAAGAAGTTGTTACCAGATCTGTAAGATAGTTTGAAGTGTTTGTACTTATGAGCTATGGATGATATGAATAAAGAGTTTTTTTTTAAATGCTTATAATTTTTTTCTGACCAACAACAAAATATGCCTACGAATCGAACTCCACCACGTTTTTAACGTACAGGTGTCAAACTTGGCGCTGTCTCGACTCTTACCTACCTTACCCTATGATCTACCATGTCTACCATGAGCTTTCTTAAAAAATCCAGCTGAGACAATTATTAGGATCCTAAATTTTTTTTTTTATTTAAGAGCCTAATAATTATTTGCATTCGATGGCAGATTACATTTATAAAAATGACCCCTTTTGCCCGGCGGATCACTTTCATAATTTGCGCTGACATAAACGTTGAAATTCATTTCACAAGTATTGAAGTGATAGCTTGTTATGGGTCCAAAAAAATTTCTCTCACCTATACGACAGCGGTAGGCAGGTTCCTCTTCTCTCACTCTAACTCGCAGCGTTAGCCCTCTCTTTACGCAGTTTTTGGTGTGCGTTAGACATTTACTGTTGACAGTGAGCATAATATTATAACCTCAACCAATCGCCGTTCTTGAAAGGGATTATAAAAAGGAAGTGATTATAATAAATATGACGAATGAAGCAGAAGATGATCCTCGGAACATTACAGAATTAAATAGTTCAAGTTGTCAGTTCTGCCGGGCGTCCCGAGACGAACACATTTTTTTATTCATATAAGTAACAGCAAGTCTAATTTTGTTGTTTATTTACAATAAAAAATTATTTAAACTACATCAAAATATTTTTTTAAATACTTTAAGGTACTTTTATTTATACATTTTGAAAGAAAACCAAAAACATGTAGAGTATTTAACTTTATGCACCAAATAGGCCATCTCTTTTACAGCGCATTTAAAAAAAATATTAGTTTGAGACCTATCAACTTGGAAAAGTCATGGAAATTTAAACTTTACAAAAGTTTAAGAAAGGCCAAAAGTAAGGCTTGCGTGGAAAAACAGCCACGGCAAGACAATATTGTAATATCTGTTGAATATGAGCTAAAAAGCCTTGTAGTTAGATTTTGTTAAGGGCTTGATTTTAAAAAATCGCAAACAAAGTAGCTGACAATAGACAAACAATTTTTATCTGACATATTGAATGTGTAATTAAAATGGCAATACACCGACAGGATATCAAAGTTGTTTTTTCATATAGCAAGTATTTTGATTGATGGTTTGATAGCCATTTTGAAGAGCTTTTGTTGGTGTTTTGTGAATGTTTTTGAGATAAATTAGCAGAATTTCGTAATCGAGAGGAATTTAAAAGTTTATATCACCCAAATATAGTCTCTTATAATCAAGCAACGCGTTCATGTTGATAGTGCTATTTGTTAAATAAAGACGCATTGTGACAAAAAAAAACCGGAACAAACTAGCATTCTACTATATCCAATAATTAATGTTTTCAAGTATAGTTTTATTCAGTGAAGTGCGTGTATTAACTAAAAGTCTTTAAAATAAATTTGGAGGCATTATTTACGTCTCGGGCCGATAAATATTCAATACGTAATTTGTGATTGTCACAAGATGGCCGCCATTGGATTCTCGCTCCGCCAAAACTCGCTTGTGAGGCCCGATGTGTCATCGGTGAGTGAACACCTTGCGCGCATGTTGTAATTTGGCGTCTCGTATCGCGGCCAAGATTCCGCGCCGCTTCCAGCGAGATTCCATTTTATAAAATGGAATTTCGCTCGGGGCGCCAAAATACGATGGGTGTTGACATAACTCAAGTGAGTATACCGTACCGTTACTCAGACGGCCGTAACAAATAAATATAGACAAAAATGAGTGAACTAGACGACGTTGGAAAAGAAGTGTGGAAGCGATGGATTCTTGAAGCGATACATAAGATACGTTCGCAAAAGCAGAGGCCAAGTGTGGAGCGCATATGTCATGCGATACGACAGCACCACAACTATCACGAAGATGTTGTATCGGAACGGCTAGAGAGAGCTGTGCGGGATGGGGCTGTGCTTAAAGTATACAACAAGGGCCAGAGTACTTACAAGGATCCATGCGGGGTGCAGAACAAGATACTGCGGATAGCAGCAGACGCGGATATAACTCGCATAGTGGCTAAAGCAGTTCGTGAGTTGGGAGAAAGAGATGGTTCCAGTTTAAAAACAATTGAGAAACATCTAAGGCAAGCATTCCAAGTGTCTGTGGAAGAGAATACAGATGTTCGTGCTATACTACGGGCCACTGCCAAGCGTGCTGTAGCCAGAGGTCTACTTACAAATACATCTGGAAACTATCAGGTTGCAGACAGACCTGCTGGTGTTGATCGCCAGAAACAAAAGAAAAATTTGGAAACATCTGAAAAGGTAAGCTGTTGTCAATAACCATATTATTAATGTTAGCTTTTAGTCTAGAATTTTAATAATTATATATTTTAAAATTAGTTAGTGATAAGTAAGAATTGTTTTCATGTCTAGAATTGTAACTGTTATTTATATGGTAAACTTATTTGAAATGTTGTGCATCATTTTTTAAATTTATTGTATAGTAAAAGCATGTAAAATAGCTGTTAAAACTATACTTTAAAATTTTAAATTTATTGAACACAGCTATTTTATTTAATTTTGTTATTCTTTTATTAGTTATAAAGAATAAAATAGGATATATGATTCTAGATTTGATCGTAATGGCACCATAGTATTCCACTATTTCTGTGTTAATATTAAAACTACATTTTAATTAATTCACTCCATATTTGTGTCCTTTAAAAAATATGAAATTTCTCTTTGAATATTTTTATGTATGCTTTTAAAATATATTTTTGTTTTGATAAGAATTCATATTAATTATTATTGAATTATTATTATTTGTAGTTTTCATTGTTTATTCTGTATAAAAATATATGTATTAAAATAGAATAATGAGTCTTTTATAAAATGATTTCAGAAACAAATTGGTGGTGTCCCAGTTTGTACTGAGTGTTTGGGGACTGATGCTAAAAACAGACTTGGATCAGCTGAGGCCTTGATCTGTTGCACTCAGTGCAAATCATATGCACATCCAACCTGCCTAAATCTGTTGGAATATGTTAATTTAACTACTATCAAGGTAAATTATATAGACTATTAATATATTGTTCTTAACTGTCACACATTCAGGTACTTCTCAAGGTACATTTCTTTATCCACTTTAACTTGTTTAAGTTAATCAATATTGGGTCTAAAATGACTGTACAGCTTGCTAGTTAGTGGACTGTAAAATGTGTGTGAATAGTATATGTAATGTGTGTATGAGCAAGCTGCACTAGATGACTAAATATATGAGAGGGTGACGATGTAAGAACCTAACAACCCTATGGATCCCTAAGCCCTACAGACTTACCCTACTACGTAAATAGTGAATATATAAATAAGTACGGGATGTCTGCACCAAGAGACCAGATACAGAGCAGATGATCAATATTCAAATAATATATAATTAAAATTGCTTTTCAGCTGCTAAGATTCAGAACACACATGATCCATGTCAGCAGTTGGTTGATGTTCAGATGATGTAATCTGAACAATGACATAACCAGTTA